ATTCGCCATTTCGTGGTGGTGCAATTCCCCGATTTTCCCTATGCTAGACTGATTTTCATTTCAGTGTTGACGTATTTACCGAGCCGCGACATTGTATATTCGTTAAAACAAAGATTTTTATTGAATATATTTATTTTTTCTGTTTATTATTATTGGGTATGATACATTTACATTAAATTAATATTAAAATACTAAACACTTAGGTACCCACAAGTCAAGTTATTAAACTTAATAGTCCAATAAATGGTGTCCGAATCCATAGTGCCAATAAATGTATCCCGTATCAGATTGCTCAGGAAAACACTTTACGATGCAGTAACACTTCCGGCGATCACAAATTATCGTTAGTGAGACAAATCTACGGGTGTGACTATGCAGACGCGAGCAAGCGAATTTTCCGAGCAAATGAGAATATGTGGCGAGAAGAGGCAAGATGTGATAAATATCAAAATCCATCAGATATGTGCGAGAACCAGAAATTCGCTCTTGCCAGCGTTATTTCTCGCTTCTTGTTTGTGCATGGTTTTCCTTTGCGAAAAGTAAATCGCTCACTCTATATTCGCATCTGCATAGTCGCACCCTACTTCTCGTCAGCCAGACGATATCTATCTCTTCTTAGCCACCTTCAATTTTCCCGCTCAAACTGACCTTATATATGGGCTACAACAACCTGTGGTCGACCAATCAGTGTCTCCGCTTGTCTGTAGCTCTACGTTGGGTTAATGTATCCTTTCAACTATGGAAAGTTCGATGGATGAACTTTGTGAGTTAGACAATGATTGGGAGAGAAGTGCAAATGTAAAAAGGAGCATCATATTTGGTTGTATTCTGAAATTCTCAATGAAAGAAAACAAAAATGTAAACAATTAAAGATGGTCTTTAAGCCTCTGTTTTAAAAGTCTCATAGTGGCACCAACGTAAATGAGATCTGAATTAAAATGGTGTCACTTAAAAGAATAGAATACACTCCTGTACTATTGTTATGGTTTCTTCTTATTATTTGGTAGAATTCTATAAATCGTTGGATTACAATGATAAATTATTCTTGTGAGCTAATTTTTTAATCTTCGAGTGTAGGAAAGGTTATTAAAGATGGATCCTTTTTTCCGAAAAATGTACGATATCCGAAACTAAAATTTTTTAATAAAAACATTTCACTTTATGATAAAATACATTTTAAAAATTAAATTCATATGTATTTTGCATTATNAAAATCTATCAACGCGCGTTTGAGTGTGTTCGCCTATGTAGAACTCTTGGTTCTTTAAAACGCGCGTTTAAAAACGCCTAGTGTGTACACAGCCTTACTGACTACCTAGTTACGTATAAATACAGACGATAACTTAACAACACTGAGCGGCAGTTGCGATTAATAGTCCCGCTCGGGCGGAGTATTTTTTTCCATAAAAATCTAGTTCGATAGTTTGATAATTCGGCAGATCGTCTGGCTTTAAAACTATTTTTGATTGGTCCCACATCTTCCTAATTTTTAAGCACGTAGAAATGACCAAAAAAGTGAGAAAAGTGAGAAAATGACCTGAAAAGTGAGAAAAGTGAGAAAATGACTTGAAAAGTGAGAAAAGTGAGGATACTTCAGAAAAGTGAGTACAAGTGAGAAAAGTGAGCGACTCCGAGGCCAGTTTGTTCTTTATACATTTCAACAGTTTGAACAAATGCAATGAAACTTTTTAGAAACCAGTCAATGGCTACTTTTGGATAAATTAACTTCAACCCTCTATTGCAACATATCCTCCTTTCTATCTGACCATCAGGATATTGGCATTCAAATAAGAAAATTACTTAATATGATATTACAAGTGAGCACAAAATATGTTTTTAGGGATTTTAAAAGATGGAAAGTTTAAATATTTATTCCATTTTTTGCAAAATTTTATTGGTCAATTGATTATTATTTTGTATTCAGCTACAAATGGTACATTAGAGTTAACATTAGAAAAAATTTGCATGTTTTGAGTTATATTCTTCTATGGGATAAAGTCAATGACTATTTTCTATTGAAAAACATCAATTCCTGTCTATCTGACCATTGAAATTGTACCATTCCATACCATCAAAGTATCACATTCTTAGTAAACACAAAACATGTAATCAGATTTTCCAGAGTACTGAGCACAAATCTTTGTTCCATTTGCCTCCAAATCTAATTGTTCATTTGTTTTTACCTTTGTTAAATAAATTTAAATAAGATCAATTTGTTTTTTCTTCATTAATGTAGATTTTGTCATTTTTACTGTTTTGTTACATTTTCCTTTGTTCTTATTAAAATTTAACACTTTGTGATAAACATGATAATTATAGGATAAAACAATCAAATTCTTAATATGATTTTCATTTTAATGTTTGTTGTTCTTACTTTTTGTCCAGGTAGCACAAGGCATATCTGCTATATTATATAAAAACTTAATATGAAATACTAATATTCTCAGATCTCTCTAATTTCAAATTTAATTAAAATTAAATAGCATTTTCATTACTGTAAGTATTAATTAGTGAAAAAAAGCATTTAGTGTTGAACATAAAATAATGTTGTACAAATAACTGCATTAACATTTAATAAATTTTGTAGTAGGTTCTTTATTATTAGAAATGTCAATTTTACACAGATAATTATAGAACATTAACTATGTATGATTTTTGTGTACATACATATAAAAAATAAATATTTTTTAACTGCATAGTTACCAACAGTCTTTAAAATACTGCAAATGTGCATTAAGATAATAAATGTAAAAATCAATCAAATCTCATTTATAAATGCAAGAGAGAGATAGCATGACTTAAACTGTCTTTTAGTGCTTTGGAAATCATTCTCTAGTACTTATTGGACAGGTACTGAATGTATTTCATATGAAAGAAATATTAAATAAATCCAGAATTGATTAAGATATTAATTTTATGTTTCAATAATAAATTATATCATATAAATCAAAATTCTATCAAATCAAGAAACCTTTAAATCCAGCAACAATTTTTTTAATGAATGAATGTTTTTGATTCCTAAATGGCAATCTTCATGCTCTAGAGCTGAAGTAGTTTAAAAATATAAACATACATATGCATATACTAAAACAAAAATAAATACCCATGTTAGAAAGATATCAAAATTAATATTTAAAAGGTAAAATAAATAAATTGCAAAAATTAACAATTTTTGCAATTTATTATAAAGTTTTTATATTTGTAAATAAAATTAAAATTTATTCACATGCATCTTACTTTTCCAGTACTTTGAAGAATAGTAGTTCTTGTCCTCCATTGTCTCTCTCTACTGAGAATGTCTTTTGTTACATCAACATCATATTCTAATATACGTTGAAAATCAGTTATTCCAAGACCAATATCATCATCTCCTTTAATAGTTAAACGTTTTTTTGCCAATCTTTTTGCTTTTATAGCTGCAATTTTTTCTACTGACATTGCTTCAGATAGTGACCTGGTTAAAATAAATTAATATTAATTAAGCATTTGTTAGGGTATTATAAAATATAGTCTTTATAAACATAAAGTAATTTAATATTTATTTTATTATTATTTAATTATTTTAAATCCTTGAAATTTTCAATTGTCAATCATTTGATAAATATAAGAATATATATAAAATTAATATCAATTTAATTGATATATATATCACTATGTGAAAATAATATTTTGTAATTCTGCAAAATTAAAGATTTAATTATAGTTAAATAAATAATCTAAATTTTAAAATAATACTAAAACAATTCAAACAAACAATACTGTTATTTTTATGGAATTTTATCTTATAACCATTTATATATTTATAACCATTTATAGTTATATTTATATAAGTATAAAAGTTTTAGTTAGTTCCTTTTCTACAAATTCAATGCATGATAAAACATTTAAATATTTAAAAGTAGCAAAACTAAACAGAGACATATTTCTAGATTTCTATTTGTTTTAATTAAGAAAAATGGATATTATAAAATTAATTACCTGTGTACAAATATATCAGTAAACATCAAAACAACAAAGTAATTTAAATGCTTATTGCTTTTGATTTCTTTAATAGCTTATCTTCAGAGAACAGAAAGATTATTATTCTTCTTTCTATTATTTTTTATTATTATTACAGTAGAGCATCAATTATCCAAAAGAATTCCAGTCGGCAAATTTAAATTTTCGCCAGTGCTGTGGCACTGCAATCTTTGGTTATGTCTTGGGCTACTCAAATATTTTACGTTTTTGATACTAAATTAACATCTGAAGTATAATTTTTTATTGTTTTTATATTTTTCAATATATTTATTTTGTTTGTACAAAATAAAAAAATAATTTTTAACGATACAGTAGTCTTTGTTAGGCTTAACATCGACGAAAATTCAATGCAAAGCGACACGCAACGGAGAAAAATTTCAACATGGAATAGGTTAATATATTTTTTCGTACATAATCGGTTATCCGAAATATTGATTTTCCGAACAACAGCAGTCCCCAATTGATTCGGATAATTGACGCTCTACTGTATTATAAAATTGAAAGTACAGTCAAACTCAATTACAACAAGCATTAGGGCAAAATTTCCTCATTATGTCTGTGAAGAGCAGTGATGAAACTAGGGAGAAAATGGGTGGCTGCTTGAGCATAAACATGTAGGGGGGTGCCCCACGGACAGCAAAATTTGTAGCTATACCACTGATCAGTAAAATCTGTCTTTTAATTTTTAATTCTAAATAAGTAAGTTAATTAAAAAAAAAAAGTAAATACATTATATAACTGTTAATAAAAAACACAGTATAAACTACAATATAATTAATATAAACAATTTACTTTTTCGTAATTAAAGATAATACTAATTAATAATATGCTCAGTTTCAGTTAGTCTTTTTATCTACAAATCTTAAAATTGATGATTGCTTTATTTTTCCATAATGTTGATGCTTTCAAAGATGATAAAGAAAACTTTCTACACATTTCAACATTTCATACCATGTTCTAACTTGCAAATAATTTCTACTTTTTTCATAAACCAAGAAAAATTTTCTTTTCTTCATAGACATTTTTCTCATCTAATAATCATAGTGATGATTAGATAAATTGGCAGAGTAGAGCCAGAAGCAAGTCAAGAGAGGGATGATCTCCAAAAAGAAAGATAAGTGATAAATAGGCACATGCAGGTCAAAGAACTAATTATCCAGCAGTCATAAAACTAAGTAACTCTTTCGTTTTATCTCTTTGAAGAATTTGATATCATATTTCTTACTACTAGAACAATTAAGAATGTTCATGTGTTTGCACACATGAACATTCTTAATTGCTAGCTATTAAAAATTTGCTTGGTATATCCTTAGAATATGCTAATTACAACCGTGAGAAAATGTATGGAAATACACGTAAATTAAAACTGTTACAGTGTTTTGCTCATTATAACTGTAAACTCGTTATATCTGTGTTCATTATAACGAAGTTTGACTGTATTTTAATCTATATATATATATATAAAATTGCTTATCCTGACTGACTGAATGACTCACTCACTGATTCATCATCACCCAGAGCAGACCGCTTAACCTAAAGAGGTGAAATTTGGTACACAGTTAGGGTACATCATGAAAACACACACTAAGAAGGGATTTTTTGAAATTTCCCAGCGGGGGGAGAGGGAGAGGATTAAGGCTTAACCAGAAGAACGGCTTCTACTGTACTATTTTAGATGTGATTTTTTGTTTTTATCTGCGTTTTAGTAGAGTATGCCATAAGAATGCACACTAAAAAGGGATTTTTCGAAATTTCCCCGTGGGGAAAGAGGGAGGGGATTCAGTCTTCATCAAGTACTTAGGTGTATTAAATTAATAACATTTCAAACATTGTTATAAATATTTTTATCTACTTCAATTTTAAAAATGTTCAAACCATTTTAAATTCAAATTTGTTATTGCATATTGGTTCGATTATAGAACAATTGTAAACATTCCAGAAAATTGATCAAATTGAAAATAGTTCATTTGATTCTCGGCAATTCTCATCATTCTCGTCGGTAGGTGTTATATAACAATTACTATGGTTGTTGAAATACTGAATATAAATGGGGTTTGTTTGCAAAATCCTCGCGGGCAATGTTGCGAGTAACAGCTAGTAATAAAATAAAACCACAAAAAATTTAACATGACCTCAAAATATGTAGGCTGCTTCTTTTCCAACCTCCGATGGACCATAAAACAAAGACAAATGTAAATAACAAAATGAATTTATTACCAAAAGTTAGGTACAAACATGGTTACTTTTCGACATAATCAATGTGAAGATTGAGGAAGAGCTTTGAAAACCCTTCTTTGTAGAATGTTGCCACCAGTGACTTGAGATGGGCCCTAATGTTGCTTTGAAGATCATCATTAGTCTCAAACCTTTGCCCTTTTAGTCACATTTTCAGTTCAGGAAAGAGGTGAAAGTCTCTCGGCACTAAATCAAGACTATATGCTGGGTGTTTAAAGATGGTGAAGATTTCCATCCAGCTTGTAACGTTTTAATGTGTGAAGACTTACATCTCTTTCCTGAACTGAAAACGTGACCAGGAGGGAAGAGGTTTGAGAATAATGATGATCTTCAAAGCAATGTTAGGGCCCATCTCAAGTCATTGGCAACAACATTCTACGAAGAAAGGATTTCAAAGCTCATCCACAGATAGACAAACACCTCAAGCTTCATGGTGATTATGTTGAAAAGTAACCATGTTTGTACCTAACTTATGGTAATAAATTCATTTTGTTATTTACACTTTTTTTTGTTTTATGGACCATCAAAGGGTGAAAAAGAAACAGCCCTTGTAATACCAAAAATAAATTTTATTTACCTGATCTGTTCAGTTGTAACTGATGCTTCTTTAGGGGCATCTAAGCGAGCAGCCAATTGTTGTTTAGCTCTTTGAACTTGTCCTTCCTATTTTAATAAAATATATTAAATCTTTATTTAATTTTTTAAAAACATTAAAATTAATATTTAGAACAATTTTCCTAAATATATATTATAATGTTATATTATTGTACTTTTAATTTGAATTTCACAACAATATTTGAATAATTAATTAGATTAATTTATACTGTATTTACACAGATTGTCCAGCATGTTGGTCTATCCAGGGAGACCAGAAAACCAGATATTTCCACATGGTAAAAACCAGCATGCCAATTTAAGTGAGGTTATAGATCACTATTCATAGAACGCATTAAACAAACAAGAGTTAAATCAGTAAAAATGAATGCATTTTAATTCTAAAACTGTAAAACTGTCAGCATTACATCAAAAACTATGATTGTATGTTTAACTTCTTCATTTTGTCTTCTTTCTAACAATGTAAAATACTCATGAAATTCTGAGTGCACTTTTCTATGTTTATTTTATGTTAATTCGATTCAAAAACAGAAAAATAAACATATTAAATTTAAGAAACTTGCAGTAAATTATCTCAACTTACATGGAGTAACATCTCCTTTGTGCAAAATTTGAGAGGAAGGTGTTATTTTTAACATTGAGGTGAATGGTCAGTGCAGCCCACACTGACTGACTTATCTACCTACTACTACTACTACTACTACGACTACTACTACTACGACACTAATTATTTTATTGTCTTATACATGAAAACTTCTTCCTGATTTTAAGTCAGTCAAATTACAATGATATTATATATTACTATACTGGAAAGAATTTTTTTTTAAATATTTGTTTAACAACTAGTTTTGTTAGATCTGATTAATTTTCTATTTTAGTTACAGTTTAACTGGCATGCCAGTAATCCTGGTGTTTTCTGGCATGCTGGTCTGCCCCATTTATATGTGGCATGCCAGTCATTCCACGAAAATATGGTATTATATGCATAAATATTTTACATGCCATATTTTATAATCATGTATCCATTTGTCCAAATAATGAACAATTGGAAGTGACAATGTTCCTTATTTAAAACAAAAATTCTACCTGATTTTTGAGAACACTTTATATTAACAATTTAATGTTAAAAGTAATTACTGTTACTATTATAATTTTCAAAATATACTTTATCAATTTCCTTGATTAAACTCCAGGTAATAAAGATGCTATTAAAAATAAATTCCAGATAACTGCACCATACAGAATAATGTAGTTTAGAGTCACAGGTAAAGAGTTTAAAGTTCATTTTCTTCAAATTTTTTGAAGTCAGAGAACACTTTAAATTGGTTAACTATGAAAACAATTATTTCAAGTGTTGTATCTGTAACCCATAAATACAATCAATAAATAGTTTGACAGTTCTGAAAATGTACAGATAATCGAGATATTTCTTTCCATTTTTACCTATTTGTCTCCTACTGCAAGGCAATAAACTTCAGCCTTGAAATAAAACTCAAAGGATATGTTCATTTTAAAAATACACCCCGAGATTTAATCAAAGAAATATGATATACAATTTCATCTACATTAAAATAATTTTAATTCTATTCAGAATAATTCTGTCATTTTTGTTATATATCAACTGAAATCAAAATATAAATTAAAAAATAATCAATTCATTAAACTTTTGTCAAAAATATTTTTGGCAAGATTATTATTTACAAGCACAAATTATATACTAAAAAATTTATCTATATTTATTTTCAAAAAATAATTCCATTAAGTTTTGTAAGGAAAAGAAAAAAATTCACAAAATGTTATTAACATAAAATTTATTTTAATATTTATGTACATTTAAATGAAAGTATAATCATTTTACTTTCTAATGAAACAAACTATTTTAACAGTTTTAATAGTTTCATGCTTATTTGAACTAATTGATTTACATGAAAAAAATCTATTATAACTCAATAAGCATATAATCAATCTTAATGAAATGGTAAAGAAAAAACATGTAACTTACTTCCAATCTTGGTTTCTTAGAAATTTCATGTTGTGGTTCTTCTATTACATGTTTAACTGAATATTAAAAATAATATAATTATTGTTAATTTTCATATATTTTAAACAGTTTACATATTTGACTTTATTATAATAATGATTTTCTCAAATTCTAAAATTAGTAAATTATTTTATGTTTTTTCATATATCATATTCCAAAAGTTTTAAATAAGACAAGTTAAGTCTCAAAATTATAATAACGCATTGAAATATTAGAAATATAATTGTGAGATTTATCAATTTTTTTTTTAATTATTTTTAACATGAAATTGTACTTTCTAAACTCATATATGGACACATTATTGACACAGATAGAATTTTCAAGTTATGCAATTAATTATAAACTTCTGATTGTTAAAAAGTAAAACAAATGTTACATTACAAAATCAGAGAATAAATTTAGATCTATACTAGGATCACATTCCTTGTTTCCAATGCCAGCAAACTGAGCTGATTAAGATTTATGATTAAATCTAGAGTTTATTTAGTATGTTTCAAAATAGAAGCAATGATATCTGATTTAGTGGCTGATTTTGGAAACTCAGTTCCTTTCAAAGTTTGCTTCAGAACAACTTATTACAATTCATATGTAAAAGTCTTTGAGATTGCTCAGTGTTGCCAGTCAGTTACATGTACAAATCTATATACAGTAAAACCTGTCTATGGCGACCACCCACAATTCCTTCAAAAAATGGTCTTTTAGACAGGTGGTTTTCCAATATAGGTGGTGCTGTAATACCGTATTTCTGTACGTATTTTGCGCACTTTTTAGCCATTTTTACTAAGCAAAACTCGAGGTGAGCAAAAATAAGCGAATTTTTTCAACGATAGGGCTATATTCGTATTGTATTTTATTTTAAAGATTAATACAATAGTCACATTTTCTCGATTATAATGCACACTTTCTTTTTTCTGACTTAATTAATTCGACTCGGTTCTTTTCGTTCGCTCCTCAGTTACGTGTATTACGTCATCAATATACAAGCGCGTTGTATTTCTACATCACTTTGGTTTTGGTATTCGCTAGTTTAATCGTGTTTTAACTTTAAAAATACTGTATTTTTTAATATTTAATATTTTCTTAAGTACAGTACAATAAGAAAAATGATTAAATAATAATAAAACGATTTTATTATTTTTTCTCATTGTACGATTTCATTACATTCCGCGATTGTCATTGCGGAATCAAAAAAGGAAGGTTGCCTGTAAAACTGAGTTTTGCATTAATGCGTTTATCGTTTTTTGAATATTTTGCGTACGAAAATGACTTGGATATTATTTTCCTTAAAATATCGGGGAAATATGGTAGGTTGATATAGAAACTATTTATCGCACATGTACTGTACATGAACTTCAAAATAAATAAATAGATAGGTAAATAAAAATATATTTTATCAAACGATGAGATCAGCCGATTAATTGTATAGTGTACAATATTTTATACCCCCAAGGAAAATACTGTAGGTCTACGGTAAAATAAATTTCGTTTTCCACAGTTAAACTTCGCTGCCAATTGCTGTTGTGATAACTTTAATATGATCTTCTAACGACAGCACTTTGCATTTCTTTCGTTTTTCGGACATTTTCCAACAAACTGAAATGAATTTTCTTTGTTGCTAGACTAATTTATTAACACCTGCACCTAATTTCAAGGGTAGGAAAAGTGCCCGGAATGGGTTCGAATGAGAGTTTAGACTAATTCATTATATTGGGAGATGGAAACGTTGTTGGGATGGGTTCTTACAATAGTTTAGACCAGATACATTCGCGAAAGTGGTCGCTTATTACAGGTGTTATATGTTGTTTCGGACCAAAAATCTATGCCCGCAGTCGCGTTACACAGGTGGTCGTTTAATACAGGTAACTTATACAAAGACTCTATGGATAAACTATTCCGTGCCGGAAATTTTTGCCCGTTTTGACAGGTGCCCGTCGAATGCAGGTGGTCGCCTAAGCAGTTTTTACTGTATATATAAAAATGGACGTGTGTGTCCCTATATTTCACTTTTCAGCCAAAACTACACATCGCACATGAATGGTGTTTGTATGTGGTAGTAGCCCAAAGTCTCCATTCGTGCAATATGGTGGTTGCGTCTCGATAGCTATAAGGATGCGGGAGATATGGGCTTGAAAGTAGTTGAAAGTGGAAGATTTTCTATTTCGATTTTTAAAATTTTCGAATTTGAATTGGTTCAATTATAGAATAATTGTAAACGTTCCAGAAAATTGATCAAATTGAAAATAGTTTGTTTGACTGGACGTAAAAATTCTCTAATTAGTCTGGAAATGGGGGACCTAATTCTTGCATTCTGTGAAAACGGGTAAGATTGGCTATAATGTAATTATCTTAATCTTCACTATCATCACTTTTTGCCCACAAATAAAAACCCAGCGGAGTGGGTCCTTGCAGCTAGTATACAAATAAATATATAGCTGTTAAGTTAGAGTTTAAACTCAATTGCCATATAAAATTGTTTAAAACTCAAGGAATGTCAAGCAAAAATTGAGTAACATGTTTGATCATGCTTGTAAACTGAACTGCTGTGTATGTTTTGTAAGCACCCAAAATTCCGGCTTAAGTTTATGGCAGATTTTCCATGATATTCCTGAAGGACACAATCTGATCAGGATTCCAAATAGTTTAGAACATTTATCAACCAGGACATGATATCCATACCAAATTTGGTCAAAATCAATCAAGCAGTTTCAGGGAAGTGTACTTAAATCCAATCATATTAAAACGTAAAAAAATGAGCTTTGCTCATTCAGCTAAAAAATACAATACTTATGTAATCACTGAGATTATAAAATTGATGCAAGAAATTTTTTACTAGAAAATTGAATTATAAATAACATAATTACATTAGACATATAAAGGCACTATTATGAGATATTTTATTAATAATTTTTATCAATGTACAATCCTTTGTATTCAAGCCACATTTCATTAATTATCACTCTCTTCACAAATTAGGCAAGTGTATCAATAATAATAATATTGCAATGACTCTTACCTTGTGTTGGAATTTCTATGGGTGCACTTTTGTCAATATTAGCAGATGTTGCAGTTTCGCCATTTAAATATGCCAATATGTCCTATTAATATTTTAAAAAGTAATCATTTTATATTCAAATAAATTATTGATAGAATAAATAATCTAAAATTCAAAAGAATCAGTTTTATTCCTTTTTTTAACATTTTTAAGTTTGCAAGATTATAAAATAGAAAGCTTCTATTTATAAATATAGTACACACTCACTAATCCAAACTAAATTATTGTACAAGATTGCTTGGTTTAGTCAGAAGTTCAGATTAATGGAGTTGGGTACATAAAGAAAAAGTCAAAAAGAATTACAAATACATATATATATAAAAAATATTTTTAAGTATTTGGCACATATATTTATGTTGAAATGTATAGTTTATATTAATTCTATAAACTAGCAATTTATAAAAAAGTAATTGAGTTTTTTTTTATTTTTGGCTGGAACATTTAGCAGAAGTTTGAACAGTTAATATCAGCAATATGTAATTGGTTGTGTACTGAATAAACCAATACACAAATATTTTTTAAATTTACAATACCACTGACTTTAAATACTTCAAGATATCATCTAATGAGGGTGGTGTTCAGGATATCAGCATGCATGTCTTCTTCAGATGCGTAACAAGACAGGGTGGTGGTTACACATCCGAAGAAGACATACATGCTGATCTCTTGAACACCACCCTCGTTGGATGGGTATGACTATGTGATAACACCAGAGCCCATGAGGCACTGGAAATTTTTAAGGCAGAAGCAAAGGAGAATTGTATAAACTTTAGGGAGGAAAAATGTATTTCATATCCTTAGCAGGTATTTTTTTCTAACAAAATTTCTTACAAATGTAAGACTTTGTGTGCATGATCTGTTTATGTTGTATAATTAAAGTTTTTTTAAAAAATTTTTCAATATTCTACAAAAAGAACGCACATTGAATAATTTTTGAATTTGAAATTTTGTTAAACATTCCACAAAAAAAAAATGCAGTTGGAACTCATATTTAAGTTCATTTTGGACTCTTACTTTTATAAGAAAATCTGAAGATGATCCAAAGAAAAAGAAAGATCAAAAATGATAGTCCATTTTCTACAAAAAGGACTTATTGGATTTAAACAAGGGTTCTAAAATACAGGTGTGTAATGAAAATGTAAGTTTAAAAGAAAAAAATAAAGTAATATGAGAAAACAGTGTGAGCAGTACCCAGGGCTGTGGAGTCGCTTAAAAATCTACCGACTCCAACTCCGACTTTTCCTTACCATCCAACTCCAACCAGGGACGGACATGTTACCAAAAGAGACCCGGAAATTCTGATGTCTTCACATGACCTCAGAATAAAATATTCAATAAATAGAGTTGTAATAAAGATAGAGCATAGAAACTTTTTATTCCAAAGCTAAAAGACTTCTCTAAGTAATATATAAATATGTATTCGATAATTTTTACTTTTCNAAAGAGACCCGGAAATTCTGATGTCTTCACATGACCTCAGAATAAAATATTCAATAAATAGAGTTGTAATAAAGATAGAGCATAGAAACTTTTTATTCCAAAGCTAAAAGACTTCTCTAAGTAATATATAAATATGTATTCGATAATTTTTACTTTTACGGCTATTATATATAACAGAGGAAAAGTGTAGCGCTCAGTCAAAAAATGATCCCCCCCTAATTTTTACATTTTTGGACTCAGCACACCTTGAAATTTCGAGATATACAAAAGATTTGAGGTTTTTTTCTATATGTGTGGATTTCAGACTGTGTATGTGGGGCATGGTTTTATTCACCTTGTTTGAAGCCTAATAATTTCTCTGGTCAGTGTGTTCAGAATCAGAGTCAGATGGTTTAACACAGGAGTTAATTATTAAGCATCAAAGTGGTTGAACTAAATTGTGTCCCTATATACATTCTAACATCTTAGGCGAGAACTTCTTAGCGGGTTTTACTGTACAAAGATGTATAAAATGACAAAAAAGCTTACTTTGAGGGTAGAGACGAGTTTTATTTTATTATTATTATTTTTTTAATTTTGAATGCTAGTAACAAATAAAATATTCATTAAAAGATATGACACATGACCACTTTTATGTCTTTACCCTGTCGTTCTTTAATTAAGAACCAAAATTTAATAATATTAATGCCCCTTTATATGCAAGCGACAGTGCCGCATTTCGTCTCTTAAACTTTACCCATTCTGAGATATTGTTTAATATCTCGGAACAGAAAATAAAGAAATTAAACACCAACACACACACTCGCGTGAATTTTTCCCCTTTTATTGACTTTTTTTGAGGATTTCGGGAGGTCTCCAAATGTGTAGATTTGCAAAAGAAACTTGGAGGGTCAAATTTGACACAATTCCAATACTTTTCCGTTTTATATACTTTACAAGTTGGGAAGTAAAAAGGAGTCGGAGTCAGCGGATTTTTTGACGACTCCGACTCCGGCTAAAACACCAAAACTCCGACTCCACAGCCCTGGCTGTACCACATAATTTCAATTCATTCCAGTCAATATATCTATATTTTAAACAACATTAAAAATATCTACGTGAGCAATCAATAATCATTAATTTTTATTTAAAACTAATAAAAAATGTTGGAAAAGTACTAAATATTTTCAAATTAAAACAATTATAACTTAAACCTAACCACCAAAAAATCATCATCATATGTTGAAAATCATCTATATTATTGAAAACTCATACAATTCCAAACACCTTTCATAATAATAATAATATACTTTATGAATCTTAAATTGCAGATCTTAAACTTTACAGTTATCTATTTCCCAATATTCAAATAATTTCCATAAGGCAATTTTTCAATTCTTCATGAAATAATTTATTGTTTAGTACCAAATTGCAGATCTTAAACTTTACAGTTATCAATAAAAATAAAAACCATTTATCTATCCAGCAAAATTCTTTAATAACTTAAAAACGTTTTCAAACGCATTAAGCGTTCATCCTCAGTTAATTCTATAAATTCGAAATATGAAATTCGAAAAATTACGCAACGGGAATTCCAATTAACGGTTATGTAAAAAAATAAAAAATAAAAATAAAAATGTAACGTGTTACAAACGAAAGTGCTATATATAAATTTTCGTGTACTTAATAAACAATAATGATAATAACAAATAAACAAATAAATAAAATATCTATCATCGATCATCCTAAGCCTGATTAAGCCTTTTATATAGATTATGCCAATTCGTCGCAAAAAGATTTCCAAGCGGACGAAAGCCCGTCGGCATCTCTATAGTTGATACACTGTGCTGTCTTCTGTGCCCTGTGGATTTCCAGCTTTTCGAGATGTTTTATCGCGTGTTTAGATGTAGTGGCTTTTATTATAGAGGCCTGGTCCCAGAAAACAGTAATGCCTTGTTGTTTAGCATAAGTGGCAAGGATCGTGCTGTCAATTGTTTTGTTCACTGAAAGCTTATGTTCATGGATTCTTTTTTTCAAATTCCTCAATGTTGCGCCTATATATACTAAGTTAGAGTTGAACCTGCTGTTTCTTAGCGGTATCGAGTATATTCCTGTTAAGGAGTTGCTTTCATAATCCCCCTTGTCATTCCTTAACATTCTGTATATAGTGGGATTTCGTCGATAAACTATCTGCAAGTTCTTACTTTTGGTAACCTTCTTAATAATCGGTTTAAGGAAGGGTATATAATCGAGGACCATTTTTTCTTTTTGGTGGTTTTGCTTTTGCCTCCTTGCAAGATTATTATCTTTCTTAATGAGAGCCTCTATTCTTCTTCTCCCGTAGCCATGCTGCATGGCAGTTCTTCGTATATATTGTATCTCCTTAACAGTATCGCAAACATTTGTGCAATGGGTGTGCGCTCTCCTTATCCAAGATCGAAATACCGCCATTTTAATATGCTCCGGATCCGCCGAATTCTTAGGAATAATGATGGGTATAGATGTCGGTTTACGATAAATATTGGTTCGGATTTCCCCTTTTATGCATGTTATCGTCAGATCTAAGAAATTAACGCTACTACTCCCTTGTGCTTTAATGCGTTTGAAAACGTTTTTAAGTTATTAAAGAATTTTGCTGGATAGTTAAATGGTTTTTATTTTTATTGTATTAATTTTTATTATTCATGTCAAAAACTGTAAAAATCAGTCATAACTTGAAGTAGGGTTATTTCTTTAGGGTTGTGGAGTTAATTTATAGTAACTAGAGACACACAAAACACCTTATGTACTTTTCCAGCAACTTAAACTTTAACATAATTTATAGTTCAGGTTTAATGAATTCTGGTAAAATTTTTATTTGCTTTATCATGTTAAAATTAATGTGACAATGGCATTTTCCAGGAAAATGGCAAAATCTGCTTTAATGTGAGAATTTGCTTTATTGGTATTCACTTTAAGGCAAGTTGACTGTAATTTTATTCACAAAAACAATTTGACTATCAGCAGTGGGAACCTCGATACAAAAGTACTGTACATGTGAAGTAAGATAAAGGGCTGCGGTGACAAATCACGGACTGGTGAGATGGCGCCACTCCTCTATGAGTTTCCCGGGAATCCCGGATAGAAAAACGGGAACTGGGTTTTTCCCAGAGAGAATTCTGGGTATTGTTGCTTCTTCTTCTTGTCGGGTGATCGCTGCCATGAGCACGTGTAGCTCTCTTTCAAGTGTACTCGAGGATTGTTGTAAATAAATGTTGTTTTAGTTTAAAACGTGGTCGTGGACTTAACTAATTCACGTTTACAGCCTTCTGATAAAGACAGTCTTTGTGGAGATGTAAATGGATGGAAAAAGACGGCCAGGTTTCGTCTAAACGATGGCGGCCATCCATTACCTCCAGTGGTGACCCGAACGTGATTCGACGTGAATTCGAACACCAAAGAAAGAACAAGACCTTTACTAGTNATGGTCCTCGATTATATACCCTTCCTTAAACCGATTATTAAGAAGATTACCAAAAGTAAGAACTTACAGATAGTTTATCGGCGTAATCCCACTATATACAAAATGTTAAGGAATGACAAGGGGGATTATGAAAGCAACTCCTTAACAGGAATATACTCGAT